AAGAAGAGAAGGCTGAGAGGAGACATGATGAGAGCCATGTATAAATATATGAGAGGAAGTCATAGGGAGAAGGGAGCAAGCTTATGTTCTGTTGCCCTGGAGACTAGGATGTGGAACAATGGCTTCAAACTACAAGAAAGGAGATTCCACCTGAACATTAGGAAGAACTTCCTGACTGTAAGAGCTGTTCAGCAGTGGAACTCTCTGCCCCGGAGTGTGGTGGAGGCGCCTTCTTTGGAGCTTTAAAACAGAAGCTGGATGGCTATCTGTTGGGGGTGCTTTGAATGCGATTTTTCTGCTTCTTGCAGAATGGGGTTGGACTGGATGGCCCACGAGGTCTCTTTCAACTCTGTGATTCTGTGATTCTATGAAACAATATTGCACTAGGGATCCTGCTTCTGATTCTCATGGTTGAGATTGTTGGTGGGAGTGAAGTGGAAATACCAATATACCACGCCCCAAGCAACAAGAGAACAGACCTCTGTTTCTTCCATTGGTAAACCAGAATCCTAGATCAGCTATTTAGTTAAGGAAACATTAACTGCGTAATGTTTACTTTGCAAGCCAGCTGCTGAATTGAGCAAAGTACTCCACACTGAGTTCTTTCTCTTACCCTGGACATTCCACAGATATATAAACCTCACTTGCCTAGTTTCCAACAGACCTCACAACCTCTGAGGAGGCCTGCCATAGATGTGGGCAAAACGTTGGGAGATAATGGTTCTGGAACACAGCCTGGAAAACTCACAGCAACCCAGTGATTCCGGCCATGAAAACCTTCGACAATACAAAGTTTTATTATTTATTATTCTGCTGCTAATCACTATTGTTGGCAGCATTCCTGCCAGTGAAAGGCCACAAAATACAGGGGCACATCAGAGCCAGACTTGGATCAACAGATAACCCGGACTGGTCTTCACAGCTATCCTGTTGCAAGAGTCACAGCCTTTCCATTGCCTAAAAAGGTCCTTGGATCAACCTTCTCAGCAACACTTCAGGCCCCATCTACATTGCCGTATTTAAAACTGCATTATAAAGCAGTGTAGATAGGGCCTCTGCTACAGCCAATGACCATCCATTCCTCCAAGAGGGGTCTACTCTACTTTTTTCCAAGCTGCTTTCTTCTCTTGCTTTCAGAGATGGGAAATTTAAAAGTCAAAGTTTTGCTAAAACCAGTAGTGTAGCTATGGGAGGAGGGAGCAAAATGAGAGCATTGCCTTCATGTTCCTTTATTCCCAAATGTCTAGTGTGCAGAGAATAGCATAAGGCTTCTATTTGTTGTGCTTGCACTGTCGTGTTTCCCTGTGTTTATTTTTATTTTTGATGCCTAACTGTATCCCTAAATAGTCAACGGAAGTTTTAAGTTACTGTGATGCTAGAAATTTGGGCAGTGAAAATACTCTTGACAAAATGTCTCCACTCCCACATCTATCATCCTGACTCCTTCTTGCCAGAAGGGCTTTGGAAACAGTGGGTAATCCTCTATTTCAGTGCTCCCAACCCTATTCATGACGAGTACTCCACCTTTTGCCTCATTAGTCACAACATTATTTACAGCACAATTTAAATTAGCTGAATTGTAAGCAAGGTACAAAGAAGGGGAGACAACATTAGGTTTTCAAAATATTTGCAATTTTTCCAAAACAGAATATTTTGGAAAAAGAACATTGATTCTGATAAAACATTAGCAGAAAAAATCTATTTAAAGTGGAATGCTTCCTTAGATATCAGAAGCACTAGCTTAATAACCATAAGCGGCACCTCAGGCAATGGGATGTCAAAGTCTTAGTTTTATGGCTTGCACAAACAAAATCCAAGGATTTGACAATTATGCAAATATGAAAACAGGGTTTTGTAAGTGGTAGAGGTTTACTGCGGGTAGAAGAACACCACCGGGCACATCCCTGAGAGTTTTATTTTATTTTTAAAACAATAAAATGAATCTTATTGCTTGAAGCAATTTTTATTCATCCTCTTTTGAGACAAATGTCCAGAGTCCATTGCTTTTTATTCCACCTTTTCATAGAATCATATAATAATAATAATAATAATAATAATAATAATAATAATAATAATAATAAATTTATTTGTATTCTGCCCTATCTCCCTGAGGGGGCTCAGGGTGGATTCTAACTGTGCCGTCACACCCAGACACTATAAAGTTAAAACTAAGATGTGCTTCTCTCTTTATCTGGGCAAACCGTGGGTGCCTTTCTTAGAAGCTCCAGATTCTCAGCAACTAAGGCCAGTCAAGAATTGAACATCAACAGAAAATTTATTTTACGAAGTCCTTGGCAAACTTGGCACAGCTTGATGAAGTTACAAACACAGTCAATTTGGGAAACCATATAGATGTTTTTTCTTTCCTTTTTCCTTCAGTTACCGAGTTAACTTATCCCCAATGGTAGAAAAAATCCTGAGATCTTTTACCCTAACCCTGAGCTGTTATCTTTCAGAAAGAATAGGTCTTCCCCTATCTAAGCTCAAGATTAGTTTTGGAGATGAAGTAATGGAGCCTCTCTCAATGGCAGAGAAATCCTGAGATATTCCCTACCCCAGCAATGAGCTACTGTCTTCTAGAAAGAGCAGGTCTTTCTCTATCTGACCTCAACACCAGTTTCAAAGGTGAGAGGGTAACCTGGACCCTAATCTCAATCTCAATTGTACTCACAATGGCTTGTCCGAGCTTGCCTAGCTGGCCATCAACACATCTGGGGCTTTTTCTATACTAAAGAAAGCAGGAGGGCTTTCCAAAATGGAGATCTTATCCCCAGGAAAAAGACACTTTTTAAACCAATAGCTGCAAAAGACTTGCGGGCTGGATTCCAGCCACTATTAATAATTACATTTCAGGGTGCTGCTGCAACCCTGGGGAAAATGCAAAGGGATGTTACTTTATGCAAACCAAGCTCCTGGAAGACGGAACACTAACATATACAAAGGCAAACATTCAATACCTAGAAACAATAATACACAGATAAAGGTAAAGGCTTCCCCTTTCATCTCAGGCTCTGGGCGTGGTGCTTATTTCCGTTTCTAAGCCGAAGAGCCTGCATTGTCTGTAGACACCTCCTCAGTCATGTGGCGGCATGACTGCATAGAATGCTGCTTACCCTCCTGCTGAGGTAGTACCTATTGATCTACTCACATTTGCATGTTTTTGAACTGCTAGGTTGGCAGGAACTGGGGCTAACAGTGGGTGCTCACACTGTCCCGCGGATTCGAACCACCAACCTTCCAGTCAGCAAGTTCAGAAGCTCAGTAATTTAACCTGTTGTGCTACCACAACCCCGGTGGCGTGATGGGTTAAATTCCCCTGCACTCTATTCCCTCAAATGGTAAGTATATGTCTCTATTCTATTTATTTTTTACAATTAAATTTACTATTAAAGAAACAAATGTAAGCTAGTATATCAATATTATTAGTGCCAGGAATAAGAGCCAGCGTGTTATAGTGATTTGAGTGTTGTATTATCAGTGTGGAGACCAAGTTTCAAATCCCTGCTTAGCCATGAAAAACCATTGGGTAAGTCACACCCTCTCAGCCTCCGAGGAAGCCTACAGCAAACTACTTTCAAATAAATCTTGGCAAGAAAACCCCGTGAAAGGCTCACCTTAGGCTTGCCATAGGTTAGAAATGGCCTGAAGGCACAGAAGACAAAAATGTACCAGAAATGTATTTATTTTCATTCTTTCTCTATAGCGGAAAGATCTTGGGATTGTTTACAAATAATATCTGAACAACAGGTTAAACAGTTTAAATTAATGAAAATAATGGCAATGTGCTAAAAATTTAAATATAATAAAACATTGAAAACTATTTAAAAAATTAAATTAAAAAAATGCGTACATTTGTATTTGAGAGGAATTAATGAGGTCCAGAAGACTTGATGAACAGCTACATTTTGACTTGGCATTTAAATGAAATGAGATTTATATTTAGACTTATGGCTAAATGTTCCAGTATGATTCTTTGTTAAATAACTGTGTTTAAAATACAAGAAACATGGACTATAGCAATAAATGAATGATTTATTCTAGGACAAGTTTGATAACATGTGGTAAAATATCACAGGGTGGATTTACACACCACTTTAACTGCCATAGCTCAATGCTATGAAATCCTGGCAGTTGTGGTTGTACAAGACCTTTAGCTTTCTCTGTCAAAGACTGTGGGAGCCTCACAGTCTTCTTAGTACATTTCTCCATACAACTACTGAATCAAGAGTTAATTAGATATTTCTAATTTAATATCTCTATCATTAGATCTAATTCCTTAATTTCCTATTTTGATTCAAGAGCAATGTCATAACAATTACATGATGTGCTGTGATTCAGGTAAAAGTCACAGGTAAATGAGGAATTCTAGGAGGCAAGCGCCCTCTGCTGCCTCTCTGGCAGATGAATTGAGCAAAGTACTCCACACTGAGTTCTTTCTCTTACCCTGGACATTCCACAGATATATAAACCTCACTTGCCTAGTTTCCAACAGACCTCACTACCTCTGAGGATGCTTGCCATAGATGCAGGCGAAACGTCAGGAGAAATGCCTCTAGAACATGGCCCTATAGCCCGAAAAAACCTACAAGAACCTTTATAGATAGGACTGGTGGAGGTTGCAGATTTCCCATCCCTAAACTCCAATAAAGGCAGCCTTTTAGATGTGGGTATTGGGGAACAGTTCTCCATTCATGGATTAAACCACTCATGAATTGAAAAAATATTTTTAATTCCCCCAAACAAACCTTGATTTTGCCTGTTTATATAAGGGACACAATTTTACAAAATGGGACTTATGCATTCACTGATTTGGTATCCACAGGGGTTCCTGGAATCAACCCCCAGCAGGACTCATTCGACTAGCATCTTTGGTTTTTTGAGGTTAATTTTCAAACTCTACAACCAATGCAATAAAAATAACCCCTTAAAGAACATCTGAACAATAGCACTATTCCCAGTTGTGCCATGCTTGACAACAAAAACAAAAAGACAGCCAGACATATTGAGCCAATGTAATTTATGAAATATATTAAAAGATAAAAATAAATACAAATATGTACACATGAGGTACATTCAAAGAGAGCTATGCTAAAGGATGAACAGATCAATGTTCTCACAACCATAGGTCAAAATGTCTTAACCAAATAATACTTAACTAATCAACTCTTTCAATCATGCTGCCAGATGCACACACCAGAGGAGAGTCTCTGCCCCAGTTCAGATTCCCAGCAATGGGAAGGAGGGTGGAAGCTCATACAATTCAAGGAATGCGGAAGGGGATGCCTGGGCACAGGCAAAAGCCTTTCATGCAATGTCTCACCTTCAAACAAAGGGAATAAATGATACAAACAAACCTTGGTTGTGATTGGGCATCTAGGTGGAAACTTAGTTTTGCATTCTTTAAAATGTATTATGAAAAGACAGGACAGTTGCCTGTTTTCTTATATGTGATGGCGATCACATTTTGTGATACACAAACTGGGAGTGTGACATTGTTGAAGAGTGAATGCATCACCTAAGATATTCTTTGGGACCTCTTCTTCAACCCAGTGATGCCTTTTAGGGCAGAGGAAGATAGAGACCACTTAGAAACATTCCCAAGCGAATATTCTCTCTGATTAATGAGAAAATTAAGAGAACCCAAACAACCACAACTAAAGTTCTTAATAAATTCCTTTCAGAAACTTAAACGTGAACGTGTCCAAGAGTGGCCTTTACAAACCAGCCATGAAGCTTGTTCTTTCTCTCAGTGTAAACATAGCAAAACAGCACTCTGACATTACAGTTTAAATGTGAGATGGGCGGTTGTCCTTCAGCTCTGGGGCTTTCACAAGTGACATTATATTTTCATTTTCACAATAATTTCTCATTGTTAATTCTGTTTTCCTCCTTGTCCTTCTGAAAGCTGTCACTATCATGCAAATCAGGATGGCAGAGCTTTGATCTCACACATGGAACAAGCAATATGGATTCATAAGTAAATGATGAACTTTTCCTAACAAACTGGATCCAACCCATCCCTCAGCAAACTGACCCAAACTATGCCTCAAATGCAGCAGTTTAACAAGTTGAAATTGGGAAAGAATTTCAGGAACTCCCCTCCCCCATCCCAGAATTCATCAGCAATTGTCCAGTTTGCCCATCAGATCCCAAATTCTTCATTAGCATATTAACTGTCCTCGTCTCGATGCGTCTTCATTCCTAATGTTGGGATTCTCTCTCAAGGTGCTGCTTCTTCTTATCCATGCAGATAAGCATCAAGCCAGACTTCCCCAGAATCCTTCAGAGAGCTGCAAAACAGTGAGTAGGACTTTAAATACAGAAGGAGAAGGGATATTGCTTGTTGCATCAACAAATAAAGCCGTAAGAGAAGGGTAATAAATACACTGTAGTAATAGTAGAAATAACAACAACAACAACAACAACAGGCTTTGTTTCCCTGGAGCATATCCCACTAGTTGACACTTGGGTTGCAAGTTTTCTGTTGTCCGCATTTTTAAAGAAATATTGAGATTTTTAAGGTTTTCTTTAAGCTATTCATTATTATAAAGCAAATATATTTATTAAAAAAGAACAATTTTCTACAGAAAAAATAGCAAGAGAACATTTTCTACCCACTTTTTTGCCTAGTTGTTCAGGGGGAGTCACCACATTGATACATGCCGAGAGAATATGTCGGATTGTTTATTGTTGTCATGTGCCTTCAAGACTCAGTTATTTCCACCCTTCTAGAAGCCCTATGAGCAATTTATTCCTGGAGATTTTTATGTCTCACAAATCAGGGCCACAGTATTTGAGATAATAGAAATTTATCCTTGAATCTCCCAACATTTAAGGTGTTTATTTACCTTACACTGGCTGGGGATTAAAGTCAGAAAAGGGTTAAGAAGATTGTTTTGTTTTGTTTGGCATGGCATCAAGTCAAGTTTTGGTTTTTTTGTGTGTGTCAGGAGCTTGAGAATTGGCAGTCTGCAAGGATGTTGCCCAGGAGACACCCGGATGTTTTACCATCCTGTGGGAGGCTTTTCACATGTCCCCCATGAGAAGCTGGAGCTGATAAGACAGGAGCTCACCCCACTCCCCGGATTCAAAATGCTGACCTTCGGTCAGCAGTCCTACTGGCAAAAGGGTTTAACCCACTGCGCCACCATGGGCTCCTTCAAGTCAGGTAAAGAAGCATACACTGCTGCTCCAGTTCTGCTCTGTTCAGTCATTAAAAGCTGCTCAAAGTTAACTAAATTATCTCTCTTTTTCTTGCACTTCCCTTCCAATTGTTTACTGCCACCTTCCAAATAGCAGTATGTGCCATACTTACTGTAAGATGCCTGCAAAGGCACCGAGCAGGGATTTGGTTTGGTATTCAATGCCATGCTTGGCACAGAGTGATTTCACAAGAGGAGCCACCTTCCAGTAGTTGTGACGAGGCATTGTGGGGAAAAGGCTGTGGAGACAAAGAGGGGAAGGTTCAGCGGAAACATAACCTGGTATCTTATTTAGAGCTCTGAACTCACTCACAATACATCAGCCCTGCACAAACATATGCTGAAAATGACCCCCAATGCTTTTGTTGCCCTGGCCATATTTTACTTACTGGTGCTCAATCTGGAAATTCAGATGGCCAGTGAACCAATCATTGAACAGGGATTGTTCCACATTACATGTTGCCTGGAGCTATAGAAGAACAAGAAAGGATGGGGAAAACAGTGGATCCTCTTTAGGGTTATTATGCATTGCTAAAGAGACTAAACATAAAGAGAGAGAGTCTTGTTCACACATCTCCTGATTTTTCCTCTAGCATGATCCATAAGATCTGTTCAGTATAACATACTCATAACACTGCCAGTCCAAAGATCAACACCTTTTTTCTTATCAATACCACCTTGATATTTCAGGAGTCATATTGCACCTTTTCATGATGCTACATTGGAAAGATAGGAAGCTGTATTATCCGATGGTCCATATATTCCAGGAATGCATGCTGCCTGGTGTTGGAATTCAACCCACACTGCCCAAATCTCAAGTCGTCAATGAGGAGCAGTTAATTAGTTTAGTATAGACTAAGGGTTTTTCTTCCTCCATGTCTCCTGAATGACAGTTGGGAATGTATCTTTTTTCTTCTCTCCCTTCTCTTTCTGCACTTATTCTGCTTGGTTGTTTAAAATGGATACTTTTCTACTGCAAGCTTTTTTAATGTGCCTTCTGCCTTCTTACACTTTAGTATGGAGAGAATGTGCCGTGTGCTTTGAGATCTCTCCCTGCTTGTGTGTCAGGAGAAATGTAGCACATGATATTTTTCCCTCCCTTGAAACTTTAGAAGAGATGGGTGTTAGAGTAGCTCAGACCCAGTTCTTGATTATTAAGAAATGCAATTATTTCTTATTATTGTAAATAAACCTTTTGTGATTTTTTAGATATTGGACTCTGCATGTTTGCCTCCAAAGCTCTGAATTCTTTACAGCTACATCACACGGCACCTCACACTCTGCTCAACTGAGTTGAATGCTCAACTTTTGTATCCTGTTTATTTTTGGATGCTCTGCTTTATATTTTAGGGTAGTTTTCCCTAACACCTGGCAGCACCCCTTTAGGCTTCCAGATTGGGAATGTTCTTTACCCTGATCTGGAAATACAAGGGATTGAACTAGGACCTTCTGCCCGCAAACCATGTTCTCTAACACTGGATTATGGCCCTTTGTATTGCTCTAGAATTCATGTTCCTTTTTTCAAGTTATACTTTGCTTAATCTTTCTAGGCTTTTTGAGAGACCTAACAGAGAAAAACTGGTCTTTAAAACAAATCCTGTATGTTCCTCAAATTTATAAGGCAGCCTGGACTAACAGCAGCTCTGAACTAGCTTCTGTTCCCTGTTTCCCTAAATATACATTAGTGTTTCTACTGAAATAGAAAGGTAGGATGTAAACATTTTAATTAAAAAGTTGAGGAAATATCCAAAGTTGTCACCATTCCCAGCTCTATTGAAATCTAAAAGGTTCCAAAATCCAAATTTTCCACATGGGTGACTGAGGTTTTGTATCATATATATGCAAATATTTCAAAATTATGGTCTAATCATTTTAGATAAGAGATACTTAATACTCAATTTATGTTGCAAACAAAGCTGAAGCTGGAGTGGTGGGAGATACATGTGCACATACAGATGATCACTCATAATAACAAAGGAAAGTTAAATAGAAGAAGCTAGTGATCCAAGGCCTTCCTTTTTTAAAATGCGGCACTCTTTCTTGTCCGAAATCACTTGTGAGGTATCTCATAAATTAAACAGCAGAAAAGAGGCTTACCTGCATAGTCACCCAGTCCACATTTTTATCATAATCAATATTCATTGGGATGTGGTTCATTTGAGAAACCCAAGTAAACCAGCATGACTCTAGGAGCCTGTGGAGTGAAATACATGGAAGGAAATATTACAGCAACCACGTGTCATACACATTATGGGATAGAAGCTATATATACAAAATATGGACATGGTGTAAAGCCTTAATGGGGCTTACTTTTCAATAAATGTATTTGGGATCTCATTTTTAAAGCTCTCAGTCAGGCCTACACAATCGGTGGCTCTCCAGGTGTTTGGACTTCAGCTTCCAGAATTCATGACCATTGGATAAGCTGGCTAGGGCTTCTGGGATTTGGAGGCCCAAACACCAGGAGGATCACAGGGTTAAGAGGCTTGTAAAGCAATAGTTTTTTCCATGGTGGTGAGATTGTCTTCTCCTGAGAGGAAAGAGGCTATACTGCAGTAGCAGTGCTGCTGGTAGGGCCTCCCATGTTAGACAGGTTTCTGCTGGGGAGCCAGACTAAATGAGACAAACAGTTACTGGGCAGCAGCAACAGTCCCCCTTGGGGTGAGAAATGCGGTATATAAATGCTGTAAATAAAAAATAAACAGCACTGGGTGTCACTGGCAGATAGCATCTGAGATACAATAGCCGTGGCACCACAGCCAGTATATATTAGTATAGTGAAAAAGGCAATTAATGCTTTTTGGATATTTTTTTACCATGAAAACACTATGATGAGAAAAAACAAAGAGAGATAGTGGCAGAAGATGAAACTTCCAGGTCAGATGGCACTCAAAGAGCTACTGAGGGACAGCCAAGGCCCCTTCCACACAGCTGTATGAAATCCACATTGAACTGGATTATATGGCAGTGTAGACTCAGATAACCCAGTTCAAAGCAGATATTGTGGGATTTCTGCCTTGATGTTCTGGGTTATATGGCTGTGTGGAAGGGCCCCAAGACAACTACAAGTAGAGTGTTAGCTGATGATGCAACTGGAATAAAGTTGAAAGGATGTTTAGCTGTTGAGGTGCTCAAAAGTGAAATGAAAGTCTGAAGCTGCACAACACATATTATACAACATTGAATGTGATAAGAGGAAGCTAAACATAGTAAAACAAGGAATCAAATGTATAAACATTGCAGCACTTGGGGTGTATACAATAAAGTGGACAGGAACAGAACATTTTGACTCAGATAATTAATTACACAGTGCTTTATCCAGGAAGTGAAAATCTAAGAAATGGGATCTCATTAATAGCGAGGAAATACAGAAGCAGCTAAAGGATATAATCCAAAGTCTGACCAAATAAAGACATTATGAAAAGCACATCAATATAACCATAATCCAAGTTTATGCTCCAACTGCACAGGCAGAAGAAGAAATTGAAATGTTCTATGCCGGAGGCTAGGAGCCTTTGCAGCACCGAGAGCTCTGACTCACAGTGAAAGAGGGTGTCTCTGAGGATGATGGGCTGGAGATGTTTAGAAGCTTTCCTGGACGACCATCTGTTGGAGATGCTATGTAGTTGCAAGCACTACTTCATATTTAGATTGAACTAAATGAACCCCAAGATCCCCACCAGTCCTAAAGTTTTATGATTCCATGCCCTGGCCCAATTATATGTGTACTGTACAAGGCAGGCCAACCTGTGGCTATACCTTATCAATTACATGTGATAAGCTTTTTCCTTCTGACGCTATCACTTACAAACATCTCTATGATATTGATCTTGCATAATGCCTTAAACTGTATTTTGAATAAGCAATCAAGTATAGCCCAGGCTTATGCCATATTATAATAAGCAAAACAAAACATTGGTGTTACACTCTGATGCAATGGAAATTGGAGATAATTTTTCACAATGGAGGAATTTAATGTAAGCGATCTAATCACTGGGTTTCAAATGTACTCAACGCTGGTTATAACTTGTAAGATAAACTTCAACTATCATCTTACGTATGATTCAATATAAAAAATCAAGTAGGGGAGACTCCAAGAGTTAGAACAATGCTGAGTTTAAGTCTTACCTGGAGAGCCAGTAGTATGCCATAAAACACTTAAATCCCATAAGAGGAATATAGATAAGGCAGACTCTAATGTTGTAAGTCACAATCAAGGCCAGATCCTGTTAAAGGAGAGATAAACAACAGACTATCTTTAAGTCAGAGCCATTAGACTACACACAAATTGGTGTGCTTTTAGGATAAATTCCAGTGGACTTAAACATAATGGCAAGCGTGCCTACCAGCCATTCTTTGCGCTTGATTGAAGAGTAGAAAATGGAGATCTGGAAAAAGGGAACTAGCAAAGTTGGAGCCATGACTGTTGAAGAAAGGGAAAAACATGTTGGAATTCAAATGACTTCTATTTGGAACACACACACACTTATTTTGAAACCCTTTGGAATGGTTCAATGTGGCCAACATTGAGAGGGGTTTGTTTTTTTTGGCCTTCCAGATGGTTTGGACTAACACTCCCATTATGCTGGCTTGGGTTCCTGGAAGTTGAATCCAAACATCTGAATGGGCAAAATCTTTGGTTCTATCCACAGGGATGGAAATATGATTTCCAAATACTCATTTCATTTTCAGTTGAAAAATGCCAGGAAACTGCTCAAAAGCATAATAGAGCCGAAAAAGATCTGCACACATTTCTTCCCAAATCTAAACTTTCCAAACTCTGTAGAGAAATACACTGTGTGTGTTGTTCAGTGTGCACATGCATAAAACCCCAATGCTTTCTGAAAACATAATGTGTGTGTTTAGAAAGAAAAATTCTCCACAGAATAATTTCCCAAGAATATTCTTCATATGGAATATTCTGGAGAATAAATTATCTTATTCCACATCAGGGACAAAAAAACTAGGGTAGTTATTTGTTCTTGAACGTGGAGACGAAATAGTGGCAGATTTATTTCTCCAGTCAAAATTAGTTCCTTTTTTCTCATTTTTACCTGTTCTTCATTATACATTTCTTTCCCCTCCTTATTCTCTTTTATCTGCTCCAAGTGGAAGATCAAATAGCAAAAAATAACTAATTTTATCCAGCCCTGTCTTCTATGTGATACTGTTATGCTAACTTAGGCTTGTTACTCAGGGCTATGTTTCCTATGCTCCAACTTCTACAATGCATGCATTTCTCACATAGCAATATGTTCTTCTCACATCACGCCTTATTTTGAATCCTTTGAAGTTCAAATTCTTTTGGCCTGGATGCTACAACCTGTACCGTTCCCCCGTCATTTAGGAACTATTAAATCAGATACGGGAGGCAGAAATGTTGCATTATTTTTCAGTGGCAATGATACTTACAGGAGAAGTACTTATGCTGGTAGTTGTAAGGCATGAACTTCTTCTTCTTTGTCCCAAGCTGTAAAGAAAGATGCATCATTTGGGCTACAAGCAATCATTCTGTCTTTTACCGCAGTTTACTGTTACATTGGTATCATTCTCCTATTTATAATACATGCATGAGCATTACTTCTGTCTCTCTTTGGGCTCAACCTGAGGACACAGGTATGAAAACTGAAAGAAAAGCCAGATTATAAATTTATGAAAACACAAGCCTCTGGTAGTGTGTGCAGCATGGCCAATGAAATGGCCAATTTGGCCGATTGTGCCCATAATGTTATTTATGACACTCGCTGCCTGCTTTTCCGCTTGATGGGCCTTGACAGTTTCCAGCTGAAACTAATCCAGCCTCAGGTAGCTGATTTAAAGTAATGGTTTATTCACAGCTTTTAATTAAATGCTCTACTTAAGCATTTTCCTCATAATATATACATTGTAAACATACCTCTGCAGCCAGTGTCTTCCCCAAAGCAAACAGAATCGGGTGCATGTTGAGATCAGGGTCTTTACGGAAGCAGTTAGGTTTAGCATGGTGCTGGAAATGCAGATAATTCCACCACTGGGCTGGCATTCCCTATAGGAAAGGAGAATACTGGACTGTTATGTTGTTTATGTTTGATGTTTTATAGTTCACTGATTTTAATCTATTATTGTATGCTATTTTAGTTATGTGTTGTGTTTTATACTTTCTGAGGCATTGAATTTTGCCATTTACTTTGTTGTGAACCGTTTTGGGTCCCCCTTGGGGTAGAGAAAAGCGGTATGTAATTTTTTTCCCCATGTCAGGAGCAACTTGAGAAACTGCAAGTGGCTTCTGGTGTGAGAAAATTGGCCGTCTGCAAGGATGTTATCCAAGGGATGCCCAGATGTTTTGGTGTTTTACCATCCTTGTGGGAGACTTCTCTCATGTCCCCGCATGGGGAGCTGGAGCTGACAGAGGGAGCTCATCCATGCTCTCCCCGGATTTGAACCACTGACCTGTTGGTCTTCAGTCCTGCCGGCACAAAGGTTTAACCCATTGCACCTTCAGGAGCTCCGGTATATAAATGAAATAATAATAATAACCCATATGCCTTCGGAAAGTTAGCGGACTCCTAAAGGATAAGATATTTACCTTCACTAGGCTCATTAAGATCTTATGAATCACATGATTCCATTTGGATGTGTTGAAGACGGAAAGGTGCCCAAGGTCATGCTGTAACCAGGACATTTGGGTCTATAAAACAAGGGAAGATTTGGAAAACAAGTCTCACTTTCAGTGCAGAACCAATAAAAAGTGGGAGCAATGCAATATTTTTTACAATTCGTGTGAGAGCACCTATGCGAAATTCAGTAACACAACATTTAACAGTGGCCTGATTTGAGATAACACTAAAAATACATGTTAATATAAATTAAATGTAAGAGTTGATTTTCATTTGTTTATCACTTGAATAAACTGTAATTTGTCTTAACTGTAGTACACAATAGAAAGCTAACTATTCAACCCAGTTTATGCTTCATTCTGTCATTTCTGCAGCAATCCTGAGATCTCCGCTGAAAGGAAGAAAACATGAATCCACCAGAGTCAGTCACATTTTATGTTCTGGCCAAATCAAACTATTTGTCAACTCACAATCCAAGAACCTCTTTGAGCACTGCTAACACTCTGTGATTTGTAAAGAAAGTGGTACTAGGAATTAGCATTTTTATTATGAATTTCTAACCCTAATTCATGTGTAATCCATAGGTAAGACCAGGTGTGCCACACACATTCAGGCACTCTCTTAGCAGCCTGGAGAGTAGGAGAAAAAGAACTTCAGCCTCTGAAAACAATACCAGGGGACCTCTACTGGTGAGGAATCATTCTATAGCAGTGGAGGGAAATAAAACTGTCCAGGGATGAAGGGTCTACCCTTTTCCCAACTCCCTCCTCTGAGTATCCACAGCCAATGTATGCTACAAGTCTCATACTAGAATATCAACTTACTTTAGTAAAAAAATATAGATACGCGTAGATGGCAACTGCCCTCCTAAATCCAGCTGCGATGTCTAAACATCTTCTATTAAACCAGAGTCAGGAACCGGGGTGAGAGAGGGGATGCAGCTCCCCATACTCTGTTGCAGATTGCTTTTTAAAAAAAATGAAATAACTGGAACCAGACATTTTGGGGTGGGGTAGTGTTTATCCCCACAACCAGGGTAAATCAACAACGGCTGCTTCTGCCTTGCATGGAAAAGGAGGCAACAGAGGGCATGGGCCACATAAAGAAAAAGTTGTATTGGAAGGCCAGTGTGCCCCACACTTTGATCACCCAGTGGAGGCATTATCAATGTGAACCCTGGGTTCCTTGAAAGCTAAAACACTTATTAAACCCTTATCTATTCCACTTCATCAGCAGCATGGGATATTACTTAAGCTTACGGGTGTATATATGTATACACAGTACAAGCTGTATCCAGAGGACAGAAAGGGGTAATTAGTGGTTATTGGTGGATTGGACTGGGACCAAGAAATGTTACTTGACTTTAGTTGTGAAACCAACCTAATTTTGTAAGACAAGCCAGAGATTATGTTTCCCTATACAGAAAGCAATCTGTTGGTGGAGCATATTATTTTACTTTCTTCTATTACACTACATGAAAGAACGGAGCCTGCTGGACAAACCTAGCCAACTCAGTTCTGCTCATGTTTTCTGTTCCCAAGATAAGGTAGGGAGAGCTAGATAAAGGTGTGTTACTACCATTTTGGTAACAATCGTCGCCACATCAGGGGTGATTAATGTGGCACCCTTTAGTGTTGCTTGACTGCAACTCCTAGCCGCCCAAGCCTGTTTAGCCAACAGTGGCTGTCACATCAACTGGAAAGCGTGATGTTCTCCATCCCTGTCCAACATGAAATTAGAGAGGGCCACAAAAATGTTTCAGGGAGGGATACTGGCTAAATAGGCTATTAACTTTTGTGTCTTACTTCCTTTGATGATTTTACAGTGCAGGAGAAAAACTGGCAAATAACTAAGCTAAGAAATCTGACAGGGAAGCTGATTTTCCTTGAAAAAGAGGAGTAATATCTTGAACAGAAGCTAGGTGATCTGTTCGCATGCTTATTGAATAATACTCACTGAGGTATATCATATAGTTTAGAACTAGCTCTTGAAACTTGCCATGTTTATGAGGACTGGCTCGTAAAATTTAGAATAGATAATGGGACCCCCATCTTATTGACTCCTACCTTATATATAACTGCACATGTTTGCATATTTGGGTTCTAACTTTAAAACAGCAGCTAATTCATATGGCATCAAAATTCTGTGGAAATGTTCCCATGTTCAAAAAAATCTTGTCATATAGTATGAGACTTAAAAAAAAAAAAAAAAAAACAGGAAAAAGACCAGAATTGCAAAGAGCAAACTGCATAATTTTTGATGGTATCGCAAATTCATAGGTCTTGTGGAATTCCTGAAATCCTCAGATTAATTTCAAATAGATTAATTTCAAAGATGATTTCTACATTATACCTGAGCAATAGTAAAACATGCAACGCCTACAAAGAACGGTAATGAGGATGCTCCAAAGTACCAGATGGTCAACCAGGCAGCAACATCCAGCACCATGATATGAATGAACATCAGGAAGAAGAAGAGCCTATTTGGCTTCAGAAGTCCCATCCTTTCAACGGTGGTACGCAGCTCCCGAAAATCATTGACTAGCAATTGCTGTTGGAAAACCCAAACAACAGATATTTTAAAAATCAGGTAAGAAAATATTATTACACTCTCCTAACTATATGTATGAGCAGAAAGATGATATATAAATATTGGCTATATTGACAGTGTAGTAATAATTCCATTTGTTGAACATCTTTTCCCCAAAAATACTTTATTACAGATAATATATATATATATATTATCCTAAAATAAAGCAAGAAAACAGAGTGGTAAGCCTTTCTTTTCAAAATAAGTGGATAAGAAAGATGATTTTGGAGGAAAAAATGAAAAAGAGCAGCGGGTTGCTGTAAGTTTTTCAGGCTGCATGGCCATGTTTCAGAAGTATTCTCCCCTGGCGTTTCACCTGCCTCTATGGCAGACATCCTCAGAGCTTGTGAGGTCTGTTGCAAACTAGGAAAATGGGGTTTATATATCTGTGGAATGTCCAGGGTGGCAGAAAGAACTCTTGTCTGTTGGAAGTAGGCATGAATGTTCCTAGTTTCCAACAGACCTCACAACTTCTGAGGATGCCTGCCATAAATGCAGGCAAAATGTCAGGAGAGAATGCTTCTGGAACATAGCCATACAGCCCAAAAAACTTACAGCAACCCAGTGATTCTGGCCATGAAAGCCTTCGACAACACAAAAAGAGCAGTTCTATTCTTATCTTCTTCAGTTTCTTCCCTTCATTTTTGGATGCAGGTTATAAAATCATATGGCAGTACAATTTTACTTAGGGCTTATCAACAACAACAACAACAACAACAGTCATTTAATCTGGGGCCAATATGGAGCAGTATTATAATTATATAGTTCTAGGAATACTCTAGTAATACTCAGGACTAGCACTGCAGAGGGCCACACACTCCATGCCCAACTTCTGGTGGAGTGGAGTCTAATCTACATGGTCTACATGAGCTTTGGTTTATGTATCTAAACAGTGGTTCTCAACCTGTGGGTCCCCAAGTGTTTTGGCCTACAACTCCCAGAAATCCCAGTCAGTTTACCAGCTGTTAGGATTTCTGGGAGTTGAAGGCCAAAAACATCTGGGGACCCCAGGTTGAGAACCAATGAAGACATTGAATTTTGCCATTATTTTTGTGTAAACTGCTTTGTGTCCCGCCAGGGGTGAGGAAAGCGATATATAAATACTGTAAATAAATAAATGGCCTCGTAAATCAGTTAAATTAGCCTCCCCACATAAGTGGTACCTACATTTCCTACTTGATCAGATTCACAACCATCTGCACAAACCAAGTTGCCCATTCTGATACCTGGTTCCATTTCCATTCCAAATGCTGTCCATGCAAAATACTGCACCATACTCTTGCATTATATTTCTATGCATCAGCAGTACCGGTTACTACAATAAATAGCGTTTTGCAAAAATGCAACTGTCTTTCGGGCTGCAAAGATCGACAACAAGCTACACAATTTTGGTCGGGAGTTCACTCCGACCCGGGCTGGCTTCAAACTCATGACCTTTCAGTCAGTAGTGATCTTAATGCAGCTGACTCCCAGCCAGCTGCACCACAGTCCTGGTGTAAACATACTGAGCATGTTTTGCCAAAAAGCCTRGAGCCATAAAATCAGTCTTTGAGAATATATGCTGCCCCAGGGACAGTTTGGCTGCCTGTGTCACAGAGTTTTTGTTTCTACATTACCGGGTGCAGATGACACGACATTTAAGCACAATTCAGTAGTACAGTAATTATGTGCCACATATATTGGCATGCAGCTATTAGTACACAACAGGAATTTAATTTATCTGCTTTTCCCCACTATAGAAAATTTCAAAATCACAGAAAGATATATTATTTCCTATGTTCCAATATTTAATTAACACTCACGTTTTTGCTGGGCTCAGAACTAGGTTGATCTGGTGCCAGTTCCCCTATCAGCAAGGAATTCAAGTACTTGCTCACTTTAGCTTTATGAAGGTGAAATGCTGTGAATGCATCCTAGGAGAGAAAATACATTGCAATTGGAATGAGAGGCAAATACAAATCTATATGGAGAAGAAACATGATGAATGGCACCAAAGAAGCAGAGCTTACAGCATGCCCTATAGTAAGACACAACTTCACTCACTTACATTAAAAAGTTGAATTCAGGGGCTAGTAGTGTACCTCACAATCATTTCATCTGTTTTCACATCACAACGTGAGGCTCTAAGACTTAAGATTCTTGCAGTTCGAATACCTGTTATCTCTTTCTGTTAACTTTCATCCATTCTGTACACATTTGCTAAGAAGCTATAGCCAACTATGGTTTCTCAGCATTGGTAAAAATCCTCATTGCAAGGCTTATGCACTTTTAAAAAAAACGTCCCATCTGAAAATTTGTATGATGAAGCAGGTCATTCTCCCTTCCCTCCTATAAGTAAGTGGCTATAACCTTTTCAGTTTAACTTTCTTCTTTTTCACTTATAGATTGCATAGTCCCATCTTTCACACTTTTCTCACCACAGTTTCCACATGTGTACATGCATAGTCCTTTAAATCCTTGTAGTTAAGTCAAAGGGAACAATAAAATAGTAATGTAAGGGTCTTATCACACTAGAGTTTAAAGAATAGACATCCCGCTGAAATGCTGAGGCTTGTAGTTCAGTGAGGGCCAGGATCTCTCTGGCTGAACATCCCTAAATTAAAAATCCCAGAATTCTGCAGGAAGCTGCAACAGGATTTCAGATGGGATGCATGCTCTTTGCCTACTCTGTAAGCTATAGTGTGATTAGAGGTTTACACTTCTACACTGACATATAAAATCCAGATTATCTGCTGTGAACTGGATGATCTAGCAGTGTAAAATGGGCCTAGGTAACTCAGTTTCAAATGACCCCTTCCTTCTAGATATGCAACTAAAGACGAGATCACATTCACATTACAGAATGGAGGTTTTTGTCTCCCTATCACTTTATTTGCTCTAACAGAATTCTGGGAAATATAGTTTAGGGAAGCCAGGATCTCTCAAACTGAGTTTCAAAGGCCCGCCCTAAAGTACATTTCCCAGAATTCCGTTCTATAATAGTCATGCAATCTTGCCGAAGACTTTGGAGATCATTCTTCTTTATGCATATTTTTCTTCTTGTAAGCATAACTGACACCCTTTGCATGTATATGCATACATGCTACACCCACTTTGTATATATGTCTCTGGCTGTCTGCTTATCTACAAAATGCATCCTCTATCCTTGAGCTTCTTATGCTATCTGACATGGAGGACCAGCAGGGTTTCCCATCAAATGGGACAGAGACTGGCTCCATAATTGTGCCCTTTACTTCAACTGGTTCTTCTTTATTGGAAATTCACTGAAAAACCACAGCTGAGTTCGTGGACCAATACCAATGGATCACCAGTCTGAGTAACACTGTTCTATACTCTTTTTAGATAGACAAATAAAGTAACCAAGAAGCTTTCTGAATATTGACAGAAGCACAAGACAATCTTATTTGTTTAAAGTCTGATGACATAAAGACAGAAGTCAGATAATCTGGACACTTTCCTAAGAAAGAACTTTGCTTCAGATCAGATTCACAACCATCTGCACAAACCAAGTTGCCCATTCTGATACCTGGTTCCATTTCCATTCCAAATGCTGTCCATGCAAAATACTGCACCATACTCTTGCATTATATTTCTATGCATCAGCAGTACCGGTTACTACAATAAATAGCGTTTTGCAAAAATGTCATCAAAGTAATCTAGATTTTAATAGTTTTATATGTTTTAAACTTTTAAACATTAATTAATTTTGAATTTCTAAACGGTCCCAAACGATTTGTTTATTTCCTCTCAATGCTTAATTGAAAGCTTGTGAAATTGGGTAGGACATAAATATTTAAAAAATAACTATTTTTCAAAGAGGAAACAACTGTGAATTGTATTGCTCTTAAATAATGTAAATCAAAAGTAGCTTCTGAAAACATCACAATGTAAAACATACAGTCAGCATGGAAAATTATGTTAGAAAAAGCATATATACACAGTAATGTAATATTTTACTTTGGTAAAATATGAATGACACAATACACATGGACAAGTAGGTAAATAATGTTTTGTAAGGATGGTAACTTTGAAAGGCTGGAGTAGATTATCTGCGTAACAACTCCTATAAAATAAACCTATCAATCTGCTCCAACAAAACAAACAGAATCACAGCACATTTAAAGATCAACACCTTTTATTACAAAATGAACTTACATTTTATTTACTTAGAGGGCTATCCAGATTTTCAAGTATGTATAAATTACATGTGATCAGGGTAAGAGTAAAGCCATAAGGTCAAAAATATCATTTAATCTTTTTACACTCATTACTTCCTGCATTATTTTTCTTCTAATCTCACTAGTATTGCTTCCTCTGTATATAACACTATATATCTGCTGCAGTGAATGCTAGTCCATTTAAGTTCATTCTGTCATAAATGTGTTAAGGTTCCAAAGTACCACTGGACTCTATTGGGAAAGAAAATAGTTGGCTTGATGCATAGGATTTTTTAAAATGAAATGAAATGAGAGATAGTTTGGATCATGTAATTTTAATATTTATATTAGGTGAATTTAATTTTTATGTCTTCATGCCTAAATGTTGTTTTATCGTCTGTTTAATTGTCTTATTGATTTTAATGCATAGTTTTATGATTTGTGATTTACGATTTGGTTTTACATGTATGTGAGGCATTGAATTTTGCCATAATTTGTTGTAAACTGTTTTGAGTCTCCCCAGGAGTGAGAAAAGTGGTATATAAATACAGTAAATACATAAATAGATGCAATTTTTACTAAGCTTTCAATCCTTGATCTCAATGGATCTGACTTTCACAGAAATGATGGCACTTTATCAGACACAGCCATCAGCAATTAGAATTAATTGGCTACATCGCTACATCCCGCTAATGCTAGGCTAGCAGTTTATTAGTGCATAAATACAATGGGCCTCGGATATCTGCTGGGGATACGAAAATCTGTGGGTTCCCACTGCCTATTACAGGCACTCCTGGAATGGGGTGAGACAAGAGGAAGCGAGAGAAATCTATTCCTAGGAAGGGAAATTCAGTCCTGGAAGAGTCATCATGGGGAAAAGGTGTCTCCACTGAGGGCCCTCCCACACAGCCCTCTATCCCAGAATATCAAGACAGAAAATCCCACATTATCTGCTTTGAACTGGGTTATCTGAGTCCACACTCTGATAATGTGGAATTTTCTGCCTTGATATTCTGGGATATAGGGCTGTGTGGAAGAGCCCTGAAGCTACCAATCCTCGTTTCTCACTAATCCTTGTTTCCACAACAAGCCAATTTTTTCGAAATCCCATGATCACAGGGACAGAAAGTGAGGTGAAATCTTCCTAACAGGGGCACAGGCAGCAAAATATACACAGGGCTGTTAACCCTTCCCTATGCTATCCAAAGCACACATGCATATATGTGTGCATGACTAGAGTTACACTTTGAAAATGTACCTGCTCACAAATGAAACTTAAGAACACACCTATCTTGGAGACTGCCTGTATTTTCAAGTGGATGCAGGATCCATAGATATGGAGAGCTGACTGGATTCCAGTACCCACATGTAAAGTGACAAAAGCAGGGTTTCCTTTGGAGAATCAAACATATGTTTTCAAGTAGAGGGTGGCTAAATCTGTAGACACAGATTCAGTGGATGAGAGCAGACTATACTCCCAACTGGCAAAATCATAGTTTGCTTTTGAGTATACCCACACACACACACACACACACACACACGGTGGTGCAGCAGGTTAAACCACTGAGCTGCAAAACTTGCTGACCAGAAGGTCGGCAGTTTGAATCCGGGGAATGGGGTGAGCTCCTGCTGTTAGGCCCAGCTTCTGCCAACCTAGCACTTCAAAAACATGCAAGTGTGAGTAGATCAATATGTACCGCTTCTGCGTGAAGGTAATGGTACTCCATGCAGTCATGCTAGCCACATGATCTTGGAGGCGTCTATGGACAACGCCTGCTTTTCGGCTAAAATTGGAGATGAGCACCACCCCCCAGAGTTGACTAGACTTAATGCCAAGTGAAAATCTTTACCTCTATATGTGTGTGTGTTCAAGTGGATGCAGAATCCATGCATATAGAGAGATGACAGTACTCCATACATGGAGTGGAGAGACAAGGTTTTCTTTGGGGATTTTTTTTTTGAGTGGGGTAAAAATATTTTCAAGCCACGGGTGGTTCGAATCAGTAGAGAGAGGTCTGACGAGGAGCATATTTACAAGGAGATTTTTTGTCGTGTCAGGAGTGACTTGAGAAACTGCAAGTCGGTTCTGGTGTGAGATGAAGAAGGAGATGAAGAAACGGAAAGCGAGAAGTTGCTTAAAGGCCCAGATCGAGAAGTATAGCAAAGGCCCCATCTACGCCGACCATTTAATGCAGTTCGAAGGCAGCTTCAATCAGCGGTGGCTAAACAACAAACTCCCAGGAACGACAGACAGTCCTTAATGCACATCTGAGTTTTGTGTGTATCATTGGCATCCGGGCCTCAAACTGGATTTCCTATGGAATCGTCTCCACAGCTAAACCAGGTTCTTCAATATCGGTTCGAAGCTGCATTAAAGTGCCAGCGCAGATGGGGGCGAAGCAAAGTGAAGTGAGAAGGCCCAAAGCGAGAGAGTGGCTGAGGGAAGAGGCCACGGCCCCAGGGTGAGGAGAAGCGCGGGAGTAATCCACTCCGTGGGGTCGCACGGGATCGCCGCTCTCCTCCACCAACCCTGCGTGAGGGGCTTCTCTTCAGCCCAACTCCTCCTCCTCCTCCTCCCTCACCGTGGCGTCCTGCCCGGCGTAGTGGCTGATCACGCGGGATCCCCCCGGGTGCCGCTTGTAGAACTGGCTGATGTCGTACACCTTCCGCTCGATGACCAGCCACCGCTCCTGCAGGTAGGGCGCGACCCGGCCCGTCCGCAGCGCGATCTCTTCCCAGGTGAAAAAGCGCCGGGCGCAGACCTCCCCGCCATTCGCCACCGTCGCCGTCACCGCCGCCTTCTCCCGGAGCCCCAGCCCGGTGTCTTGCAGCGGGGGAGCCATCAGCCCTCCTGAGGAGACAGAAAGCGGAGAGCGTGGCAGACGGGGCGCTTTTATTTAGGAGCACACCCTCCTCGCCCTCTCATTGGCTCCTCCGGATTTGGCGAACGCTCATTGGCTAAGAGGAACACCCCTCGCGCGCTCCTTTTCCTGAGGCGCTGCTCGCCTGCCTTCGCCCCCTCCTTGCGTCTATGGCAGGCATCCTCAGAGGTTGTGAGGTCTGGCCTCAGGCCCCTTCCTTTTGCCCCTCAGCCGCTTAAGCGGGCTGAGGGGCAAAAGGAAAGGGCCTGAGGCCAGACCTCACAACCTCTGAGGATGCCTGCCATAGATGTGGGCGAAACGTCAGACGAAAATGCTTCTAGAACATCCCCATACAGCCCCAAAAACCTAAAACAACCATAGAATCATAGAGTGGGAAGAGACCTCATGGGCCATCCAGTCCAACCCCCCGCCAAGAAGCAGGAAAATTGCATTCAAAGCACCCCCGACAGATGGACATCCAGCCTCTGTTTAAAAGCCTCCACTACACTCGGGCAGAGAGTTCCACTGTTCTTCCTCATGTTCAGATGGAATCTCCTTTCTTGTAGTTTGAAGCCATTTCTCCACATCCTAGTCTCCAGGGCAGCAGAAAACAAGCTTGCTCTCTCCTCCCTATGACTTCCTCTCACATATTTATACATGGCTATCATGTCTCCTCTCAGCCTTCTCTTCTTCAGGCTAAACATGCCCAGCTCTTTAAGCCGCTCCTCATAGGGCTTGTTCTCCAGACCCTTGATCATTTTAGTCGCCCTCCTCTGGACACATTCCAGCTTGTCAATATCTCTCTTGAATTGTGGTGCCCAGAATTGGACACAATATTCCAGGTGTATTTTCTGTTGACCATGGGGGTTCAGTGTGGGGAGTTTGGCCCAATTATATTGTTTGGTGGGGTTCAGACAGAGGTGGCCCTAGGTAATTTTCAAGGGTAAGCAAACAGTATTTTGGCGCCCCCCACCCCCAACCAATCACTGATATATATTTTCTGTTCGTCGTGGGAGTTCTGTGTCCCATATTTGGTTCAATTCCATCATTGGTGGAGTTCAGAACGCTCTTTGATTGTAGGTGAACTATACATCCCAGTAACTACAACTCACATATGTCAAGGTCTATTTTCCCCCAAGAGCACCTCAAGAGCGCCCCTGGGCAAAATCAAGTATACTGCAAATGCTTACTTTGCGTAATGGGTTGAGCCGCCCTGGGTTCAGAATACTCTTTGATCATAGGTGAACTATAAATCCCAGCAACTACAACTTCCAAATGTCAAGGTCTATTTTCCCCAAACTCCACCAGTGTTCACATTTAGGCATATTGAGTATCCATGCCAAGTTTGGTCCAGATCCAACGTTGTTTGAGGAGATAGGAGAAAGAACTCTTGTCTGAGTTGCTTTGTGTTTTCTGGGCTGTATGGCCATGTTCCCGAAGCATTCCTTGCATCCCGGAAAACTCACAGCAACCCAGTGATTCCGGCCATGAAAGCCTTCGGCAAAATTTTCTGGCTTCTACATAATCCTCACTTGCCTAGTTTCCAACAGAACTCACAACCGCTGAGGATGCCTGCCATTGATATAAATATCGTTTGTTTGTTTGTTTGTTTGATTGACATAGAAAATCTTGGAGCCAGTTTGGGGCCCGGATGGCAATGACACAAACCATGGAGCCCTGATGCACATATCTTTTGTGCTCTTTTGTGGGTGTTTATTTGTTGTCTGGCCACCGCAGTTTGAAGCTCCTTTCAAACTGCATCTGATGGTCAGTGTAGATGGAACCCTTATCTTGACTGTAAGCCTGAGGGCAGGGAACTCTCCAATTAAGAATATGTAGGTAGGCCACACTGAGTGTCTTTGGACCACTCATATAAACCAGAATATCAAGGCAGATAATCCACAATATCTCCTTTGAACTGGTTTATCTGAGTCCACATGCCATATAATCCAGTTCAATATGCTGTGTGGAAGGGGCCTTTGTGGCTGAAGAGTTGGGCATAAATACTCTAAATAGATAAAGATTTTGAAAAGTGTTATCTGAACAGCTTGAGGTCTACCATTGGCCCAGATAGCTCTGCCCACAAACCGTGGGACGAATATACATAGGAAAATAACCGGTCTCTATCACACTGTTTTCTGAAAGGTGTTATCTAATTTCTTCCTGCATTGAGTTGCTGAGGAATTTAGAAGTGAGGGGTATTATTTTCTCTGCTCTCAGTTCCTCCCACTAGTGGATTATTCAACTGATAGTAAAGGGGAAGTAAAAAACATGTTTTGTTCCTTCCACCCCCCCTATTTGGATATTTAAGTGGGGATACACCCAGCACCCCACATCGTCCACATGCTAATACTTGCAACCATCCTTTATTTATTTATATAGACGCGTCTGCCTGTGTGTTTTGTAACCCACAGGGAATGAGTCAGGATTGGCACAGCAGAGATGAGGATGGTGACATGCAGAGCCCTGCATCTTTTTCAACATAGCTTTTAAAAAATGAAAGATATAATCATTTTTTTCAGAAACCCACATATGGATAGACTTGACCCAGGGAAGGCATGAATGAAGGGATAGATACATAAATTAGAAAACAGAGACTCCTGTATATCTACCCTAGAATTGTTATGTGCTGTACGATGTTGGGAAATATTCTAGGGAGGCTATCCTCACTGTACATTTATATAAATTCGATCCCACTTTATTTGCCAAGGGGCCATCCTTTGCAATCCTGGACTTTGTGGTTCAGGGAAGGATTTGGGACTTATTCAAGTGAGTGAATAAGAAATTTCTAGCAGATAATAACTCAAACTTCAAATCTACAGGATTCCAATTAAAGTGATCTCAAACTGCTATAATTTGGGTGGTGTAAGGGACCAGCAATGTGCCAGTGCCATAGTTGTGTCCTGGTAAACCCTTTTCTTCTTTTTTTGGAAAGATACCAGAAACCAACAACTCAAGAACTGGCAAAGTCCAGGGACCCCAACTATGAGTAGCTGAGCAAATCTTTGGGATGATAACCATTACTTCATTTGAGCATCCAGCCCATTCTACAGTTGTTTCCTGAAGGTACGCATTTAAAGAGGTGATTAGTAATGGCGGACAACTTGTCCTTCAAGAATGCTAGCCAGCCATTAATACCGTGCCTGACTTACCTGGTAGGGATGTTGTTTTCTTGTTGCATTGGTCAGCAGCTTTATTATAACTTCTATATTTCTGAGGGAAGAGGGGAAAAAAGAAAATCAAAAAAAGTTTGCCTTAAAATACAATTGGGCTGGGTAACTGGAAGCTCCAGGGGACAAGTGTGCATGGACTACCCAAAATAAAAATCTAAGTCAAGGGATTGTTTGGATGTGTGTGTATGAAGGGCAAGTTAAAGTAATTTTAACCATTGTGACCTATTTAAAATATGAAACAAAACTCCTAGAGGCTTTTTTTTCATCAGATAAAGAGCAGTCTGGAAGAAATTTGGGGGATTTGGAACCAAACAAAATGTGACCCTTGGGCAACATTTTGTTCACTTCTAACTTTCATGAACAAATAATAACTTTCACTGCCTTGAAGTTAAAACATTTATTTTGAAATAAACAAATGTTGTTATAGAATAAATATTTTAAATATAACAGTAATAACATACACTTCTAGAATCAGATGCATGTCAGGACAGCTGCCACGCCAATAAAATGTTTATCTAAAAATCTAGGAAAAGGAGATTACTGCAACAATTAGCATTAGACCCACAAGGGATTGCATCCACATGCCAGTACAGATATCAAGATAAATGTAGGGTCTAAACTTCATTTTAAATGAATCTGTTATCCAAATCGTTTGGGACCAGATACTGTATTTTTAAAATTTTTGGGATATTTACATTTACATAATGAGATATTTTGGAGATGGGACCTAAGTCTAAACATGGAATTCATGCATGTTTCATATACACACGCACACGCACACATACACAGAGAGTATGAAGGTAATTTTATAGGCAATATTTTAAAATAATTTTGTGCATGAAACTAAATTTATATACATTGAACCATCAGAAATTTAAAGATGTCACTATCCCAGCCACACACATGGACAGTTGTGGATTTATGAGTATTTTGGAATTCTAGATAATAAGGGATGCTGAACCTTGCCACTATTGTAATTTGGTACACTTTGGTCACTTGGTACACTTAATGCTGTGGGTCCCTAGACTTCAATTCCAGCTCTTGTTATACCACTACCAGCAACAACAGCGCAGCAATAGCCAATCTTCTAATTGAATGGTTACTGTCTATACTTTCCAAATTTAAATTGTCATCTGATCTCAAGGCCTACAATTTCCATGCTCCTAACTATATGTACTTTATGCATACCTTCCAACTGTCCTAGGACATTCCTGATTAATTAATCCACTGTCACACCACTTTTTCAGCTGCCTTTGAAATTATTCAATTTCTCCCTCTCTTTCTCCCACATTCCCCTTTGTCCAGCATCTTACATCAATGGCTTCAAACTGAATGCAACGTGCAAAAGAATTTGTAATCAATTAATTCAAATAGAGGGATTGGACTGAACTGTAGGCTGAGGCAAAAACAAACTAGAGTGTTTTCCTCATTAAGAACTTTTGCCATCTTGACAATGTTCAGATATTATTAACTACTTCATGTCTCCCAGATTTCATCTGTGAAATGTTGGAACGTATGCTGCCTGTATACCCGACTTTTCACAAATCCAGTAAAATTAGCTGAAATCCAAGAAAATTTATGCCACAGTAACTTTTGTAAATCTTTAAGTGGTCATGAGACTCTTGCATGTTTAATTTTGCCCTTTGGAAATTGCAGCATCCCAGAATGAAGAAGACAAGAAACCAATATCCGTTGTAATAACATTACCACCCCGATCTATCTCTGTATTAATTTGCTTCCAACCATTTTTTCCCCAGTGGGCTGAGTACTATACAAATATGCATCACCCTAATTATTTTTTGCTGCATCTCCTTGTCAGCAACCATTCTTGTAGTAAACTGGAACT